CGCTACATAATGGGACCCTACAATCTAAAACCCTCCTATTGAGCCAGGTAGTATTAGGTAGACCCTTTAAACGGGACCCTTCTGAACCCTACTTGTGGCTCTCTTAAAAGGGGCCTTATTGAGAGGGTCTATACGCCCAAGGGTCCCCCTAATCCGAACTCCCAATTGAAGCCCAATTGTCATAGAACCCTCGTAGTATGTAGAATCTTGAATCCAGGAAACTGCACATGGAGAAGACTCAAGAAACATGATAGAACCTTTAAGAGTCGTCGCACAACTCTGCAGAAACCATGTATCCCTCCACCCATACATACCTATACCTAGACCCATCCCTCTAACAAAACAACGACCTGTATCCACACAACACATACATACTGTATCCTTACGACAGCCTTCGCATGTTCAGAATTATTTCTTTCTCGCCCTTGAGAAGCCGTATAAACAATCCAAGTCGTTATAATTATACCTGTAAGGAGCAATTTGAAGCACTTGCACCTCACAAAAGCCATCCGCGAACGACGTGAACGTGTGGTAAGTTTGCTTGGCATCCCGTGCATTTTAATCAGTTTTTCGTCCGAGAGAGGCTAATACCCCTGGGGGCCCACAACTTCCTCCCCGATGTACCTACACAGTCTTGCTTGAACACATTCCTGACTTAGTAAGTCTACTCTGTCAGTATCCCCCTTAGAGGCCCCTATAGTCAGCTCTTGCTAACCTACTTACTAGTTAAATGACACGATAAGTAAAGCTGTCGAATCTTACACCCTAAAAATCCTGAGCACTTCAAGCCACATGTCAAGCTGATATACGGTTTGGGGCTTATTGCTTGGGGAGCAGTGGGTTTTGGATCTCATGAAATTAAATGTGCAACGACATCGCGCATACTGACATAAAGCCGGCATGTTACAAGGCGCTTCATCAATGTTTACACTTAGACTTGCCCTTGTGCGCGCACCGCAGTCTGCAACTTCGCCGACAATTTGTCAACATAGAAGCCTGAATAACTTACCAATGTGATTGCTTAGAGTTCCGGGCTCATATTATCGACCCCAAACCCGTTTTCTAGTTATTCAGGACTTAGGAAGATCTGGCAGCATTGGCGTTTTGCATTTGGGCCGACGAGCTCAGCTACCTAGCTAGCTCAAGGAGGTGAGTCGGCAACCTTTATTGTTTTCCCGTTCATACGGATGATGATATAAATCCTGCATTACCCATGATAAGGAATATACCACACTTCCCATAGTGTAGGATCCTTAAGGTAATGCAGGGTTTTTATCATCAACAGTATAACCTTACTACAATTTAGAAGCGTTAACTTTTTTTCGGGCCAGGCTAATCAGCCCCTAGGTAGTAGGTTACTAGGTTCTGGGCACTACGGTTTTTGTCGGGTGTGGGGAACAGTAACCCACTTGAGGCGACCGGTTTCGCGTATTACCGATGTTATTCCTTCGGGTTCCTTATCATACTATAATATAAAGGAGTCCAAAACCCTATTCTAATTATACAGGCGCCTACATTAGGGTATGGAAGCTGGAGCAGGATCGGGTTTTCTTTTGTTGAGGCTGTTCCAGTCGCTTAGGTAGTTCTCTAGACTGTAGATAAGGATTCTTTTTTTGGGGTCAAAAAGGACCCTAGAAAGGACCCTAATTTAGAAAACTACCAACTTTAACATTATCTCCACCTTACCAGCATGCGCCAGTGCTTCGCGGAGATGATGCCGGTTCTTTAAATTAGGGTCCCTTTTGGGGTCCTTTTTCTACCCAAGGCCAAGCCCCCTCCCCAAAAGCTGTCAAACCCCTTAATTTCCGGAACATATCTTAATTTATCTTAGTAGCTGAATCCTGTGATAATATTATCCACCAAAGAACTGAAAGTCTATACTTTGGGGGCTTATCAACTCAGCAACTACGAATCACACGATGGATCCCTGCACAAGCGCAGGCTACTAATTGAAAGGTTGTAGAGGCGCCCTAAACCTTGAGCACTAAACCCTGAATTCTAAGCAACTTTTTTTCGTACATGTTTATGGGTACTTAAACTCGACAAAGAAAAGAAGTTTCGAACTTTTAGCCATAGTATCCCACCTAATCCCTAAACCCTAAACCCTAAAACCCTAAAACCCTAAAACCCTAAACCCTAATGAAACCATGAACTAGTGGATTATTCTTCCAAGTCCTAGGCCCTGGCCCTTCTGACCCTTTAAGCATCGAAGGCAACTTCAATGGCTCGGGGCTTTAGGGGTTTAGGGTTTCGGATGTGGGGGTTTAGGGTTTCGGGTTTAGGGATTTAAACCTTTACCCCTCAACTTCAAACCCAAAACCCCAAACCCCTAAACCCTAAACCCCTAAACCCCTAAACCCCAAACCCTAAACCCTAAACCCTAAACCCTTCATAAACTGAGCCTTGAAACTTCGACCGAGCCACAGGCCTCACCATCCTTCAGCCGTGGAAGGACCTCTCGACGACGTTTCTTTCGGGTTTAGGGTTTGGGGTTTGGGGTTTAGGGTTTTGGGGTTTGGGGTTTAGGGTTTGGGGTTTAGGGTTTAGGGTTGAGGGCCTGCAGGTTTAGGTTGGCTACTGCTCCCCTGCTCAGTAACAGTTGAGTAGTATTCATAATATGGATATATAAGGCCCTTAATGGTAGCCATATTATAGACTGTTCCCATATGGGGGGGCAGTACCCAAGGTTTAGGGTTTAAGCCTTAGGGACGGCTAAGGATTTAAAGGCTTGAAGGGTGTAGGAGCCAGATCTTCGTGGGGGCTTCTTCGGGGTTTAGGGTTTTAAACCGGATAGTATAGGGGTTTAGGGTTAAGGGTTTAGGGATACTATAGGGGGGTTCTGCGGGAAACGATTAAGGGTTCCTTGAAAAGGTTCCGTTCCACGGGGAGGGGGGGGTGTTCTTCATTGGTCTCTTGAAAGGTTCCCTACATGTTCCGATTATTAGGGGTTTGTTGAGGAGGTTCATTGGGGATCCCTTGAGGGGTGGACAGTGTAATGGGTTGCGCAACGGCTTCAAGCTTGGATCCTAATCAATACTGTTGATGATACAGATCCTGCAGTACAAGGACCCTAAATTATGGGAATTATGTTATACAAGGACTCTAAATTATGGGAATTTTGTTATATTCCATATTATGGGTAATGCAGGGTTTATTTCCTCAACCGAATCAATAGATGACAGATCGAAGGCGCCATAGTCCAAACCCACCTGAGCCCCTGCCGGGAGCGAGCTTGCGCCGAATTTAGCCTCTCGGGTTTTTAGGTCATACCTGCAGCCCCGGAACACTCTCCGTTGCAGGACCCTTCTATACCAAACCCTAAATTACTAAACCCTAAAACCCTAAACCCTAAACCCTAAACCCTAAACCTATACCTTATAAGTTCAGGTCTAGGGGACTTGAAATCTTGATCAAAGATCCGATCGCAAACGCCATCCTGCAGACCTTGAATTCAACCAAAGGTTAGAAGTATGGGCACCTAGTATGGACCCTTAGGCTTTTCTAGATTCTAGGGACCCTTACAGGGACATATAGAGTATATAGCAGGTGTATAAGGCTGGGTAAGGGCCCATACTAGGGCCCCATGGTTTCAATCTTGACTTCAAACCTGAAAACGTACCCCCTAAACGCTAAACCTTAAACATCCTTCAACCGTAGCCCTAGACCCTAAACCCTAAACATCCCTGAACCGTAGCCCTAAACCCTAAGCCCTCAACATCCCTAAACCGTAGTAAGCCCTTGTCCATGCGAAGTTGTCAGGCGTGCCTCCACGACAAATGTTCCGCAGAAGACTACCGACATCGAGGCCTCCGACGACGCTCTGGAGCTTTGGGTTTCGGGCTTAGGGTTTAGATGGGCCTAGACAGTTACCATAAGTTATTCCTTAGCGACCCTTGTTAGTACTGTTATGAATATTACAATTACTGTTGTTTAATTATGAGTAGCATTATGTTTATCACTACCAGCAACATTCGACTCTAATTGTTGAGGCCCTCCATAAAACATGATGCTAATGTGATGTAATGCAGAGTACATACTTGTTCTGTATAGGAGTCTTTCATGCATTCATCTTTTGAACGCATTCACTCCCTGATTGATTTGCCCGATCATTGATCTTGCATACTGGTTTGCTATACCCATAGGCACCTAAGGAGTTCCTTTTTGGGGTTACCTTATAGGATGCTAAACATAAACCATGAAAAGGAACTACTGTAGATTTGCTGTTGCAACTGTTGCTGAAGATTTTCGGTGTCAGCTGGACCTGCAATCGAATGCCCCTATCGCTGCAACGAAACATGTTTGTACTATACCAACTCATCTGATTACTGTAACTTAAGGACCAAATGACCCTTACAAGTAGGGGCTCTATACCCCTATACTATGAATCCCTACATGGCATATGAACCCTAAACCCTTTTAGGGTTCATTTCGTCCTTAAGATAAGGCTGTAAGGTCCCGGGGGTTTCCGTTCCACGTGCTTGCAGAGTTTAAGGCACTCAGCCGTGTTCCCTGGATTTACGGGGTTCTCAGGTTTAGCGGTCCTCCGAGGGTGGTGATGGTGATGGTGATGGGAGCTGTGGTGGTTGTGAAGGTAAATGGTTGGCAGAAGAGTCTAATGATGATTATGAAGATGACGAAGACGACACGGTTGCTTTTGCTCTTGTCCTGGCGACGCTTACCTCGGTCCTCCGGAAACTTATGGCAAATCCGTTCTTTGCATTGACCAAGTAAAGTGCCATTGGGTGCCTGAGCACTTCTGATTTCCATTTAAGGGTCGACAATTCTAACAGTCTCCCCGACACTGACAATATGACAGTAAGTAGAGGCCTTTGGCCTCGTATCACGTTCAGAACTCGCGAGGCTCGTGTCTCCTTCGGGGAGAATCGGCTGCATTCAGTAGCTTGTCAGTTTCGGCGATCTGCTTCAAGCTTGCCTGCATCTGTGCCTAGGACTGATTCCAGCGGTGTAGCTTAGCTCTTCGCCCTTCGCTGCTCGAAGCCATGACACTGGACATCCAAGTGCTACGAGATTCTCTGCGGAAGAAGCCCTTCCGAAGTAGAGAGCTGTCCTTGCTCCAGATGATCCAGCAGTTCGAGGCGATCCAGCTTCAGAAGCTCGAGCTTCTTGAGGCAAGAAAGCCATCCGGACCCTTAAGCCCTAAGCCCCCAAACCCATCAACCCTCAAAAAACCCTCCCTTTAAACACCGAAACCCTTAAATAATATAGAAGCCTCACTGATTACAAACATTCTTCCTTAGGGTTCCTTATTATAACCTACTATAAAGGAGCCCGAACCCTCTTCTAATGATTAAGGCCTAAATCCTAAACCCCTAAACCCTAAACCCCTAAACCCCTAAACCCCTAAACCCTAAACCCTTTGAACCCCTGAGGCAACAAAGCGTCTCAAGGAGGCCTTCAAGCTGACGATCGGCTTTTGCCAGGTGGGTAGTTCTCCAAATTAGGGTCCCCTTTGGTCCTGTTTTTATAAGGGTTTAGGGTTTAGGGTTTAGGGTTTTAGGGTTTAGGGGGCTGGATCCCCTTTGGTCCTGTTTTTTTTTAATAAGGGTGCCGTACTGTATTGGGGACCTAAAATGGGACCCTAATTTAGAAAAACTGCTCAGGTGGAGATCACTGCTCTGGACACCGTCGCGGCCGTCATAGATCAGCTTGCAGGTGAGGTTGGGGATGATTCGGGATCCCTCGCAATCACAAAGGACAGGGTTTTTCTTGATGCCTTTGGGGTGCAAAATGAGGTTGAGCGTGCACAAGGCCAAGAAAATGAAACCAATAACCCAGAACCCTTTGGCATCCTAATTAAACCATTATTCAACCCTCATCTCTGAACCTTCTGAGCCCTAAACCCTGAACCCTAAACCCTAAACCCTGATTAAACCCTAAACCCTAAACCCAACTCATTCTTCCTCCATTCTGTCTGCCCCGTCCCCTCTGAACCTTCTGAGCCCTAAACACTAGACCCTAAACCCTAAACCTTCTGAACCGCCTCTGCTTTAGGTTTAGGGTTTGGGGTTTAGGGTTGAAACGGAGCCCGCGAGGACGGTCAAGCCTTGCCGAAGGAGGCGACGCTGGTGGCGCTGGGTATCAATGCAAGCTCCCAGCTGGACTTCTCGCTTGCGGGCTTCTACGTGTTTCCTGAGATCTTCCTGGGGGTTAGGGTTTCGGGTTTATGGGCTTGTGGGAGGTTCTATAGACAGATCTTCTTACATAGGGCTTTAGGGTTTAGCGTTTATGGGGTGTTTCCTGGGCGGGTCCCGTTTTTTTTTTTAAAGGTTTGGCCAAAGTGGGTTTGTAAAAGATTTGGCTAGGCCCTTGGTTCGCTAGTCCGCTGGTCCCTTGGTCCCTGGTCCTTTGGTCCGCTGGTCCGCTGGTCCTCTGGTCCTCTGGTCTTTGGTTTCTT